ACACACACGAAGTGGACCCCCCCACACACACACACACGAGATGGGGAGCCTCCCCACACAGGAGGCGTACCCCCCACACACACGCACACTGGTGCCAGGGGCAGGGGTCACCACAGGGGGACCTGTGAAAGCGGAGGGAGGAGCACTCTCGGGGCAGCCCCTGGCAGAGCTCCCGGGAGGGTTTGGGGATTTTTATTTATTTTTTATTTTTTGCTTCCTGCTGCTCCAGGACGATGTGTTTCGGTCCAAGATTGAGTCCCAGCTGCTCCCGCCCACCCTGGGCCTTTCTCCCAGTTTGGGGACCCGTACAGATCTCCCTGGGGACCAGGGAGCATCATCTTATGTTCGGATTGCATGATGCCGCCCCGGGTCCGAGTCCCCTCCCTTCCCCTAAGGGGATGTGGACGGGCCCCCGGGCCCTGGGGCTGCGGAGCAAGTGAGGCTCAATCCACCTTCTCCTCCCTCGCGACGCCGCGGGGGAGCGGAGCCGCCTCGGAGCCCCTCTGGTTACTTCCGAGAAACAGGCAGGCTCACTCCCGCACAGGGCTGCCTCCTGGCTTGCTTCACCACTGAGTTTGCGGGGGCTGGAAGGGGAAGAGATTGCCAGATCCCGCTCACCTCTAGTGGCTTTTCAACTCACTGCAAGAAAAAGACAGCGTGGCCCAGTCTGGGGACTCGCATCGGGCATTTCCAGCTCAGAACAACCAGGAGAGGCCAGAGAGCCCAGCCCTGCTCACAGGATCCCCCCGGGGGCTTTGCCACTGGCTTTGAAATCTTGAATGCTGCTGTTCCTGGACCTGTGTCCCCCCCAGGGTGTTTGTGCCCCAAAGCTTGCAAAGAACCTTTTTTCCAACTAGTTTATTGGTCTAATAAAAGATATCCTAGCTACCCAAAAAGCCTTGTCTGCTTTTGTTCCTGGGGGATCTCTTTTGGCAGGTAGAGACGTTTTCAATGAGGGGAAAGAGCTGAGTGGCTGCAGTGCATTTAAAATCTCACCTGTTACTGACAAGTTAGTGATGAACAGGTTAATGCTGTAAAGGGGGTTTGGGGCTAGACCAGTGAATAGACCCAGGCTGAAAGCCTAGCTCCTTTCTGAAAAGGAAAGCCTTTCCAGAGTGAAAGGCAAGCTCAGTCTGCCAAAACTTGGTGTCCTCCTTTAGGAAAAACTCCCCTTGGAGGACTTGGCTCAAAGTGTCTCATAGTTTATCTGCCAATACTGAGAAAAGACTGGAGAGAATATTTGAGTCTAATAAAAGATATCAGATTTACTCAAAGAATCTGGTCTGCCTGTGTCCTTAGAGGCTATCACCTACACCCCTGAACACTGAGAAAAGTATTTTTCAAAGGCATTCACTGGAGCTTTTGAATTTCACTAGGACTCCCTTCACACCCTTTCTTAAAGCACAACTTTTCTTAAAGCCTTTAGGCAAGTAATAGTTTCAGCTAGCCCACTCAGCATCCGAGTGAAATAGTTTTCAGTTAACCCACTCAGATGTTCAAAGAGGGAACTGGAAAACTGATGATGATGATAATGCTAATAGCAGTAATAATAATAATTGGTGCTATTATTATTGTAAATGGTATTAACAACAATAACTATGATAATAGCACCAATTATTATTATTGTTACGGTTGTTGTTATTGCTTATCCAATATGGAAAGAGAAACAATATCATATGGCTTGCTACCCTTTGGTAACAGTTTGAATTTCAGATCAGCAAATTGGTGGGAGTGTGGGGAGAACAAACCCACAAGCTGCTGAATAGTTTCAAATAATTAATTTGAAAGATACATTTGAGTATCTTTCTATGTGTAGACTTGCCATGAACAGAGGAGAGGCACAATTCATCAAAAGCCATTAATCAAGCTATTCATGCAGAAACTAGTGTGTATCCAGCTTATAATTACCATAAAAAGTCTCTGTAGTTACAAACAAGTTTACAGCTAGGGACAGATCAGTTGACTTTTTGCTGACAGATTCTCTCTGATAATGACTAAAACTACATTTCAGGAAGGCATAAACTTCCTTTCAACTAATTGTAAGTTACCGTGTTATTACACAGTGGGTTTAAAGTAAGCTCCCTCCTGAATGCAGCCGGAGATGATCAAAATGACAACTCCAGCTCTTTTGTCTGGAGTTCCTTATAACTAGTCCCCGTTTTGGTTACCCTAATTAATTCTATAATTTGCAATTTATTTTCACCTAATTCCCTCTTAATTATATATATATGTTAAGTCATATTGATCCCTATGGGACATCTTGGCATTAAACATTTCTGTCCCAAGTGGTGAAAATTTCTTCCTGCTTTGCCTCTTCAACCAGTTTTGAGCCATGACAACATTTTACCTTTAACTTCATTATTACAAAGCTCTGTATCGGACACTTTGCCTAAACATCTTTGAAAATGGGAACTATATAATCTACTTCTTCCATCTTTTTCTTCACTACTTATTAACTCGTTCAAATAATTTTAAATTAGAAATACACCATTACACCTCACAGAGACCGGGGTGGTTTGTCCTAATTTTATTGTAATCATGTATTTATTCTTTACCTATGAAGATTTATTATCTATTTTTCTGGTTAGATGGTTAAAGTTCAGTGCTGTGTAACTCAATAAACCAGTCTTAGAATCTTTTCAGCTAATGCATATATTGCTAGTCCTTTTCTCAATTATACATGACACTGTTTTTGTTTTTCTTTGGTTTGATGGGGTTTTTTTGCTTTGTTTTGTTTTGTGGGTTGGTTTTTTGTTTTGTTTTTGTTGTTGTTGTTTTGTTTAATAAATTGCACATTTATGTAGTGGCTAAACTACTTAGCATTATAATTCCTTCTAAACTCTCAGATGAATGTCATTTGGTCTAAGAGATTTGTTGCAGCTTAATCTCTCAGGTTTTCTACTAGTACTCCATTTTATTATCTATAAATCATATTCATCCACCAGCTTCTGGGAAGAGAGTTCATTTCTTATTTTTCTTTGCTTTGTTACCTTTTAACCCTAGTGATTTAACAAACCTACTGACAGCCAGATTGTCATAGGGCCTTGAGAGGGTGAATTAGATTACAGGACACAGAAGAAGCCTCCAAAAAACTCCATCTCTTTAGGAGGCCCATACAAAGGTCAATTACAACAGCAGTCCCTGCCATCTGGGAGAAGGTGGAAACAGACAGGGTCCTGGCCTTTTCTTGCTGCTCTGGCACATGGATCGCAGTTGGTGGTCCATAGACAGCACTGTCTCTACTTGTGTACTCGAAAGGCCTAGGCAGCTCTACTACAACCCCCACATACAGGGATTTATGCTAAGTGACTCATTCACAGGTTTCCTAAGAAGCATATGTTAGGGGGTTTTTTTCCCTCTAGCAAGATTTTCCTTAAAACTTTAATTTCCCACATAAAACTTAGCTCACAGATTTTTGTCCTTGTTTCATACTGAAAAAAACCCAAATAAAACAACAATTAAATGAATGGTAAGTGAAGGCATGTGGCACTCAGCCATGCCACAGCCAGCTGTGATCTATTAAAGCTCACGGGGTTGGGTCTGATCAGTAATTGGAAAGGACACATCTGAGGAAAAAAACTCAAGATGCTGCAAGAATTCTGGTGACTCACTCTATGGCACTTTTCCTTTGGAGGAAAAATTGATCAAACATCTCAGCATCATGTAGCGTAGAACTAATTGAAAATAAAATATGATTCATGAATAAGAACAAGTATAACTGGCTTTCCTTATGAACTTGTAATTGATTGACATTATTCAAGCAGTCAGTCAGGGATGCTGATGAACACGTTCAGGAACACCACAAATTTTGCTAGAATATGAGCTGGACAATTCATATAGAAACTTAAGCACAAGTTATTTACTATTTGTTGTTTGCCATTTTTAGTTCTCCTAGTGGGGTGCTCATACAGCATGTGATTTACATAATCAGTTGTACACAGTGTAAAGTCAATGCAAACATTTTCCAAATGACATATAGCTGCTAGGCAGAGTTGTAGCTAGGAGATTGTTTTTCCCCCATTAATATATTTTGGCTTTTTTCTCTGTAATGTTTGTTTCACTGGCTTCATCCATCTCCCAAAGCATCTCACATTAACCATGATTAAAGGGGCAGTTCTGATTTTTTTTTCCTGAAAATAGGTGCTGTTTCTGGTTCTTAAAAGCCTATCAGATGCCTGACACCTCAGAGTAAAACTGATCAAGAATGCATTTTCCCCCAGGTCAGACTGGCAAGGATGATAGGGCTTTTTTATCTTCCCCTGTAGTGTAGACATGGAAAAATTATATACTGTCTAATTAAATTTCCCAAATTCCTTTTAACTGGATAAGGAATTATTTCCCAAATTTACTGAGCATAACATTATGCTGTTGAAATTAGGACAGCCATTATGTCCCACTCCAAGCTGGCTACATTTTTGTGGAAGTCTAAATGAAACAATATAAAAAAATAAGATGGTATCACACAATAAAATTACTTTTAGATGTCACAGTATGATCTTATATCTTTAAAACAAGAAAAAGCCCAAAGATAAAAGTTAACCCTTGAAAAAAAAACCCACTAGGACTTTTACCTTTGTGGATTTGCTGAAGAAATTGAGCAAATGTGTATAAAGTGCTTTTTATTTCCTATCAATAGTTTTAAAATATTTTGAAAGTCACTAAAAATCATGAAAATTGCTATGTAATATTGCCTTCCACACGAACCTCGGTTCACATATTTGACCACCCAAACATACTCACCAAATCACTAGATCACTGGTTTCTATGTACATTCTAATTTATAACCAATTGGATTTCACAGACCCAATTCCATTTAAATGCACAACCTACTCTCAGTTACATTCCTCATGAATATTTGCATGTTGACGAAGACTTGTACAGAAAAAAAGTCTGAGGGCAGAGTTAAGACTCTCTACGGTCTTCACTCTGGGTGCTAGGTGGATGACATTGTGACCAGGGGTCTGCATTCTAAGTAAAACTACTATTTGTGTGGAGTCTGAGTACAGCTTGGGTTTCACAGCATTTGTCAAGAAAAAAATGCATTTAATAGGTTGGCCTAGATTAACAGGTTTATGTGAGAATTTCTCCCCTTAAACTGCCTATCTGTGCCTCTTCTCCTCCAGTTCACCAGTGTAGGCTGTACACTGTCACACTAATGACCCTTTCTTATTAAGTCTGTGGATTGGGATACTGTCTCTTGAGGCTTTTCTTACCTTGATGATATTCAGAAAGATTGGTATAGGTGCAGTAAAGATGAGAGATTGGTAAACTTGGAAACAGAAAGAGAGCTAAACTAAAGAGTTTACCAAAGATAGCTTCAGTAAGCTTAAGTCCGCCTTGAAGACATAGTTATTCCATAACAAAAAAACCCCAAACAGTGAAAGCAAACAAGTCAAATGAAAATTTTACATGGGACTTGACTTTATAGTGAGATTTTCTGTGTGAAATGTCAAGCTTGTTATGTGTGCCCAAGATGCTGTAGTCAGAAATAAAACCAGAAAGGAGAGGTTTAAAATCTTTATTTTCTGCCAACAAAGCCCTATAGTGCTTAGAAAATTAATGTGATTCCCTACAAGAAATATTCACAACTAAATTGACCATAATTTGTACTAATTTTGTTTTTCAATTAATGCAAAATTCAAGGTAATTTTGACTACGAAGGTGTTGGATACCTTTATGATACTACATTTGTGTTCCTAAATACTAGAGGTCACCACAAGAATAGACAAAACTGGTCTGAATAGGGAGTACATGCAACAGATACACTTTGGAGGATACATTTTCAGCTTTAAAAATGTCACTTTGTAGAAAATCTTTTATTTCCGTCAACAATAGACTGTGGACACTCAAGTGAGATAAGCACCCCATTACCTGATCCTTG